GGGTGGGGGGGTTTGGTGTCTATTGCAAAGACTGACCAAAACTTGAAGACAAAGTATATGTCATATTTATTGCTGTCATATGGTAACCTTTTGAAAAATGAAATTCATTATATAATTTCTAAATTCATTGTCCAATAAATCAATTCTCGGAATTTTATTGTGGCAAATATCGAAAGCAGACCCCCCCCCGGCCCCCAAGAAAATCCAATATCAGCTGTACCTTAATTTAAATGTGAAAAAATAAATAAATCACAAACGGGCCACGCAGTGATTGGTTTATTCCGATCGTTTGGCATCACATCGGCGGCATGAAAAGGTATAAATAGATGAACCCCGCGGCGGGGGTTGTTCTGTGCAGCGGGAATGTTTCCGTTTGCTACGCTGGCTTCCCAGGTGATGCATTGATGAAAGCTGGGACGTTACACAACTGGATGCGGCCGTGGCTTTGAAGACCAACATGCGCCGGCGCTACGCTCAAAGAAACAAACAAAAATGACTTTTCCAGAGCTGCTCGTTTGCTTCGGTAAACGCAAAGTCCATTCTTTTACTTGTGCCAAGTAGAGGCCAATTTGCTCGAGTGGTTATGGTGAGGTTCTTCTGAACGACAAATATTCAAGAGGGACAAAAGTAAACCAAAAGAATACAAACGGTCCTCGCTGACTTCACGTCAAGATGTCGCCGATCACGATGAGGAGTCAAAAAGCAAACCGACAAAATTCAAAGGAGGTCTCAGAAGAGTCGCGCCCCGTAGCCAAAAGTCTGTTTGATGGCCTCGAAGTAGAACCTGCGCCAGCCGTCCTTGGTCCGATCCTCGTCGTCGTCCGGAACTCCGCGACAGTCCAGGCGGAGTTCCGTCTCGCTGCTGCGGTCCACCAACGTCAGCGTGACCGTGGCGTAGTGCTCTGCAACGCACGCAAAGCCGTCACACACACACGTGCGCGCGCATTTGCCGCCGAGGCCAGAACAAGCTTTTTGTGGAGGGAAACCCACAAAAGACGTTTGGGTCTGCGCTGAAGCAGGAACCTTTTCGGTTCTTGCCACCTCTTGCAATACATACCACAGGGCCAGTTGTTGTACCTCCACTTCATGACTATTTTCTGATCTCGCACCTACAACCGAGAGGTGAGAAAGTCACTTAAGACGCGACACCTCCAAAACCGGGACAAAAGTTTGGGCTTCTTGCTTACCAAGTCTACGAATTCCCCCAAAACGTTTCCACCCAGCAGTCGAAACCTTCCTCCCTTCTCACCCTCCACCGTGGCCGGAGCGTGTGTGAACGCCTGAATCATCTGCAACGACGGCGACAGCGACACGTTTCATTTGACGGGACGCTTGAAAAGCAGGGGGTGGGAAAGCCTTCTTGATGGGGGCGGGGCCGCATTTTCAAGACTTGTTAAGCCTTTCAACAACTTGTCCTTGAACACAAACGCCCCCCCCCCTTACTCTGAACAGACTTGGGCTTCGTCGCAACTTCCTTCTGCTTTCTCATCGTCAAATCACCGCCTAGTGGGGGCTGCGTGCGTTACACTGCCCCCTGGTGGCCACGACCCGCATGTCAGAAGGTGGCAACATTTTTCTTGGTGATTTTTGGGAGGCTAAAACACGTGAATGGCATTTCCAATGACTGCAATGTAAACGCGCGGGTATATTGAAAAAATAAAAATACGGGGGCGGTCTGTACGTGGCCGTTTGGGCCATACGTTGCCCACCGCTGGCGCAAGAAAAGGCGAAGGTGTTTCTCACCTCCTGGTTGACAAAGACCCTGAAGAGGTCCGCTGGACTGGTGAGGAACGTTTCCGTCAGGCTGAACTTGCACGTGGGAATCTTCACGCCCGTGTTGACCGGCGGCGCTGCCGGGCTGCTCGATGATGAAATCTGACCCCACCCCCCACAAACACACACACAAAGACCAGGGAGTCAGCGTCCGTTCCTGCTGACCCAATACTTGCAGAGACGACGAACGTGGCCAACCTGAGTTTTGTCCGTCTTGGCCTTGGACTGCGAGGAGGACTGAAGCGGCACCATGCCGTTGGCCGTCGGCAAGATCATGCCCTGAGTGAATTCTGAAGACAGAAGAAGGAAAAAAAAAAAAATAAATTTCGCCAGTTCTTTCAGTAGGCGTTAAGACAACAAGAAAAGTATTTCAAGCTTTTTTTGCCACATACACGCACTCCGGCAGCATGGAATGCTTCCAAACCGAAGGAGGATGCGTTCGCTACCGTGTCCTATTTCGGGAATGCGATCCAGGATGTCGCTGATAGATTGCACAAAAGACGACATTGCGCTCGATCACCGATTTCAATCCCCGCGATCACATCGGAGAAAAGTCTAATCAACACCCGTGCATAATGCTGGTGTCAAGGCCTTTTTCGGACGGAAATCTTTTTCATGGATAAGCGTCCGTCTTGATTTGGAGGCTGTGTGGGCTACAGAAATAAATGTGACTCGACTTGATGTGGAAAATTAGCGGCACTTCTTTTCAGAGCAGGCGAGGTAAAATAAAAATAAATAAAAAAAATCTCAAAAACTTGATACGAGTCTCTCATTCAAATGTTGACGCCAAAGACATTTTAGTTTGACCTGATTTTAAGAAGCCCACGTAGCTTCCCAGAGCTTGGCGGATCTTCTCGGCTCCTTTGGATTTCATCAGGTGGACCAGCGGCGTCTCTGGTTCATCTTTGTTCAGTGCCACGCTAATCTACATGACAGAGAAAAGGACAACACGAGTGTCACCACCTGCGACGACAGGCCCCACGCGTACCAAGTCCACTGCTTACATCCAGATCCTCCATATCATTCTCATCAGACAGATTAGGAACCTCGATGGAGCCTTGGTATTTTATTCCTGATTTTGAAATTCCTGTGAGGGGGGGGGGGGGGAGAGAAGAAGAGTCAGAAACTTCTGAACAGGTTGACGAGGTTGTGGTTTGACGTCCTGAAATTCCGACGCACCTGTCCAGGCTGCTTTCAGGTTCCACTCGTAGAAGAAAATGAGTTTCCCTTTGCGGTTGTTAATGGACGCTTCGCCCTCCACCTTGCTCACCTCGGTCACCTCACAGCTTCCTTCGTTGCTCTCCACCCGCAGGCCCAGCAGGAGACTTTTTAACTTGTCCGAGGACCAGCTTGTGGCGTCTCGTTCCGTCCTGAGGAGGCGGCAGCAATTGTTACAAATTTGAAAAGTCTTCAAGGTTACTTATCTGGCCGTATTTGTAGCGAGGTTTGATGCTGCGTTCAGAAACCTCCTACTTGGTTCTAGTCAAAGGTAAACAAAAACCATGACTGACAAATACATTTGAACAAACGCCTTCTTGTGCGGATGTTTGAAGAGTGTTTTTGGGTACCTCTCCGGTTGTTGGGTACATCACCAGCAAGTCGGAATTGAGACTTTTAATACGCCGGGAAGCTGAAACTTCCCAGACTGCAACACTGTATTTTTAGCACTCGTCATACGTGCATGTGCGAAACTGCTGCACACGCCTCGGAGATTGCGCCGAACATTCCGGAGAGAAAGTTGTTCCACCGAGTCACCATGGCGATGGAGTGGGGTTACCATGGGAAACCGACGAGGAGGGAGGATGATGACGCTTGATGCTGACTGTCTGGGATGACATTTGATGATGAAGCCGGCGCAATTAGCATTTGCATGCGTTCTCATGCCGATCGCCTCGGTTACCAATAATGACAATAATAAACCGGAGCAAAGGATCCTTTTTCGCAGTCGTTGCCTAAAAATGTGTTATTTTAAAGCCTATTTTACACTTGGCGACGTGAGGACAGACATACGGCAGGGTTCAGAGGCAGAAAATGTGCCGGCTTTTGCAGTAGGGCTCAATTAGGATTCACCATCTTCGAGAAACAGTCATTGTTTGTTTGAAACCAAATGACTTATTGAAAGTGCATTTGAAACCTTCTCGTTCATAAAGTTTTCCTCGAAATACGTGTGAAAATGCTTGCTCGTCGCGGTAAGACACTTTTCCGTTGAAGGTTGTGAGATGGTTGATTTAAAAGCGTCGTACGATTAGGCTGGCGTACATTTGGTGGTTAAAATTAACCTACAACAAGGGTGATTAGACGACAAACATATTGGGGTATGTTCTTAGCGAATGTGTACTACTCGTCTAGGGTTTGGGCCCCCAACCCCGCGAGGTTAACAAGATTGGTAGCGTTAGTAACGCGTGTGGTCGTAGCTGTCAGAAAGTCGAGGCATGTTTAGATTTCGTCAAAACGCATCAGATCGAATTCTATTATTGGGAAGAAGAAAAAAAAAAGTCCCACTGAGCGGTAATAAGACGAGGAAAACGCGGCACGGGAGTGACATCGATAGACAAGGTAGAGCCCAAACGTGCTTTTTTTCGTGCGCCCCGAACGAGGTCGGTGTGCTCGGCCTGGCGGGCGCACCGGATATCCGGACCGCTGCCAAGTCCCGCGTGATGTCTCTGCTCGAGAGTCTCGTGCTTCGGCGTCCAAGATGGCCGCTTCATTATTTTAAGAGTAATTAAGCGAGGAAGTTCGATTGCGTTTTTATTTGCATCATTTTTTTACGGTTTCTGCGTCATTAGCTCACGTCATAGCGCGTGTAAACCTCTTCTTGTGAACATCGACTTTGTGATGTACGTAATCGAACGTGAACTTCTGCGAGTGGTAACTGGCTCGAGAACTGGCCAGGTAATTTTGTACCCAACTCAAAAATTACTACTCATTTTTTCGCCGTAAGTCGTATAGAAAAAAACTTGATCCAATAGACTTATTTTTTCCCCACGGCTGTCACGTTGACAAAAAAAAATGTGGGTGTTGTAAAACACCTCCACTTTTGCTCGTGAAAGGGTTCAATACTTTTCCCAGTATTATCAGCGTCATCAACCCCATCATCCACATTTTTCTGCTATCACTATCAACCCACCCAGTAAAATCCCCTCTGATAGATATGGATGTTGAAACATCAATATCACCAACATTCACCCCAGGAAAAAAAATTGGATTTTCCACACCATGCGAGGGTTTCGTTCTTTTAACAATATTAACACCCACCCTTTTACAGCTGTTGTCAATAATATCCCCTGGAAAAACGAGCGCTGTAAAACACCCAACGCGAGGGTCCACAATTTTCCCCAGGGTTCATCACCAGCACGTTCTCAAGATAATCAACTCAACCACTCAGACTTTCTTGAGCAAAAGCGGTTCAGCATCCACACTCGTCCCACTGTTAACAATACTGTATTATCACGATCGTGTTGTCGCTGGCATTTTGTCATTTTCTTGCATTTCCAGTGGCCTCTCCGCTTAAGCGACAGAGCGGTGAACTGACTGAACGTCAATGGATGACTAACTTGGAAAAACAAACGACTTGTGAGCGAATATTTCAAGTAGCCAATCGGGGTAAGCGCGTGCAGCTTCGCGAGGAAAAGAAGCCATCTGTGTCGTATGCGTGCGTGTGCGTTTGCGTCTCTGGGCTCCCCTCCCCCCTTTGGTATTGCTCTCCCTCTCCGTGCCCGGCTGGCTGGCTGGCTTGCTTGCTTGATTCTCCCTCCCTGGCTGACTCAAGCGTGTGGCTGTGCTGAGCGGTGTTGGCGGCTCCACAGCATCAGCCGCAGCGAGCGCGCGGAGAGAGAGAGAGCGAGAGGGAGAGAGAGAAAGAGAAAGAGAGAGAGAGAGAGACGACTTCACTTTTTGAAGCCGTGGCATGAATGATCTCATCGGAACCTTCTGCTCCGCTTTCGCCGCCGACGTTCCTATGAGTGAGACCGGAAGAAAATAAGGTGAGCGTTGGGTCCTCCGCTGCTAGTCCCCATTGAGATAAAAAGAGTCTCGCGTTGTTTGTGTTTAACAACTTTAAAAAGTGTCTTTTTTTTATTGGGGCGGGGGAGGGGGGTAAAGGAGGAGGAGGAGGAGGAAGAAGAAGAAGAAACGCCGCGGACCACCGAGTGGCTAATTAGCCCGTTAGCATTCGCCTTATTAAATGCGAGAATAACCGGGCGACACACAGCGAACACGTCCGTCCACTTTTGATACCGATTGAGGCCTGCTTTTTATCCGTTTCCCCGCCACATTGTCCCCCGCTCCTTCTCGGCTCACCCCCCCCCCACCCCCGGCTAACTGTTAGCTTAGCAGCACAAAATGGCCTCATTGTCGTGCGGCGGTTGGGGAGACAAAAGCGGGGCGCCAGCTACTTTGGGGCGGCTCGCGTTCGCCGAGCGAGCGGGCCACCCATCCGACAGATAGCGACCGATAGTGTCGACGCTGGGCAGGGTTCCCAGCCACGGAGAAACGGGGAGGATAAGCCTGCGTTGAAGAGCGGAGCTTTTGATTAATGAGCGTCGAAGCAAGGCCTCGCTGGCGGTGGGGGATGGGCCGCGCTCACGGCTGTTGACGTACGGCGAGACCGTCGCTTTATTTACGCTTTCAGACACGTTTAGCAACATCAGCTCCCGAACGACGTGCGTGAATTCGTCCCTTGACATCGAGAGTAGCCAACGGGGTGGCGTTAAATGGGCTTTCAAGTCGTGTCAGTGCGGCTACAACGCGCCCCCCCACCCCTTCCACCGTCACCTTTCACCAAAACAACGAGATGTGGCTTCTCACATGACAGCTTCTGTGGTCTTTTTCAATCACAGTTGAAGCGTCGTTATGTTTTTCGAATCTCTTTTTTCCATTTACTCTCATCACACTCGCTGGCTATGCGCTTATATAACATCCTAGGCGAGTGACCTGTCAGAAACTTATTTGGAAAACAAAAAAAAAAAAAACAGCAACAACAGAAAAATGTAGCTTGTCAGGCATTCGATGTCACTGCAAATTATTCGTCAATAATGTCTTGTGTTAGATTATTTGCTCGTATGATTTCGCAGCGTATAGTCCTCCTGTAATACGCGTCTTTTGAAAGGCATTGTAACCTTCTGTTTCGTTGCCACTTGAAAGTTTAAAGCTCTTTGTTCTGTTTGAGGTTGCTGTTGCCTTTTAATAAACTCTAAAAAGGTGCATCAATTAATTGATTCAACAGCGACTCAATTATCCAAATAATGAACTACTTGTCCAACTCCTGTGATTTAACCTGCCTCTGGACAGGAAATATTTCCCCACTTCTGTAGTCCTCCGTGAAAGCAGCCCGTCGCTCTTTGGAAAAAGGATTGTTGACATTTTTGCCTATTTACTGACATGTTATGGACCAAAAACAGGAACATAATTACAGTCGGTTTGAAAATATGTCCTGTTTTCTAATGAAGGAATGGAAGTTTAAATACATTTTGTAAAACTACTAATGTCGCTAAAGTAATTGTCGGAAGAATCGATTATTTAAGTACTCATTAGTTGAGGGGGCGAGTTATCGGCATGAGACAAATTTGGCGGCTTGATGGATGAAGTGCTGCCTCCACCGGGGAAAAGACAATCGCCCCTTGAAAGGAGGGCTGTGGATGAATGATCCAGTGGTGGTTTCATGGTAAAAAACTGTTGAGGCGAACACCAAGTCTCCCAGAAACCACCACAAAATGTTGCTAAAGAGTCGCGTTTTGGAAAAAGTCGTTTGAGGGCTCGGAAAAGTGTTTAAAAACGAGTAGGGATGGACCGAATAATCCTTTTAACTCTGTCAAAAATCCGGAAGTGGCCTTTTGTGGTTCCCTGAGCATCGGAAACCGGTTGCACCGGTTTGGAAGCGCCTATTACTCGAGCGGCGGTCACGTGGCCTCTCGTGTCAACATCAGCAGCGGCTGCTGTTTCATGTCCTGTCAGTCATGAGCATTGGTGATGGAGCCCAAAGGGGAATTTTCTCGAGTGCACCTGTACAGCTCACGTAAAATGGCGACCGCCAATCAATCCCTTTGTAGCGACGATCGGTGAACGGCTGCGCTCGGAATCGTTGAAATGGTAAATTGACGTCTTTGTTTTTGTCGGCATTAAAGGGGCTCAAAAACTGGAATTGTGTCTGAAGCTTGCTTCGGGGTCTGGCGTTCTCGTGGGCAAAGGTGGGATGAATTGCTGTTTGTTGGTGGCTCGGTTGTGCTGCCGGTGTTGTTGAATGTGTGGTTGTTCCGCCCAGCAGGAGTCTTGCCTCTCAGACTGGCCTAAAAAAAAGGGGGGGGCGGGGAGCGACAATGGCGCTGAGCAAAATCGAAACGTACTCTAGGCGTTGTGACCCGGGCCCGCGCCGCTACGCTCATGCCTGCCTGTGCCCGTCGAATGAAAAGGTAGCGTAATGAAAAGGTAGCGCCCCCCCCCCCCTCCCTCCCGTCACTATTGAACCCCCAAAGGCCGACTGACACGGGCACCGCTTCCTCTTCGGCTCACGTGCACACGCGTGCAGAGATGTTGAAAAATGTGTCGCGTGCGGCACTTTAGGAAACGTTGGGATTTGATACTTGCGACTTGGCAAAATGTGAACTTCGGTGTCGGCCGCCAGTCGGCATTTTGGTTTTGATTG